TCTACTCCACTTAGTGTTGGTTGTTTGGACCCATCTTGGTGTGTTCTCTGCTGCTCTGAAATGGGATGGTGTCTAGAAACACCATGAGCAAGATGTGATGCAGGAAGGGTGAGAGAAAGTGGACTGCGTTGTCTTTCTGTGAGAGTAAAGGAAATACTTTCCCCTCATTTTTTTCACTCTCTCACAAGCTGCATAAAATAAACTTTTTTTCTATCACTTTTTACTCGCCTGTTTGTGTGGCAGATGTTCTGGGAAGCGTGGGCTAGAGTGGAGGGCAGGGTGCTAAGAAATTAAGCAGGTTAGCAAAACAGCTCCCATCAGCCTTGTGCTGCTTCATCCTTGTCTGTGCCACAAAGCTGCGTCAGGAAAAGTCCTGTAGCAGAGCAGTGCCAGTGGACTGATTTTTGTCTAGTAGCATTCATGCTTGCCCACTTAGCACTGGTCTGGCCTTTCCACACAGCAATAAATTGTGTTGACAGAAAGCATGTGGTGCATACCACATGGGCATGAGGGACATACACGTTTTGGAAATAACCTGCTTGAAGCCTATCATCTTATTCTGAAGCCAGTATGCTTCTCTTCAGCTTACCTGGGAAAGGAACAACTGTCCTAGAAAAATCCATTTGTGTTAGCTTGGTCTGAAAAGTGACAGCAGAACTGGCTGAGTAACCAACTTTTTTTTTTGGCTTTGGCATTGATCTGAACCATTCAAGAAAAACTCCAATTGATAAAAATGAATTGAATTGAATCTGTCTCCAAAATAAAGCTTTTCCTTAACAACAAATTCAAGTATTTTGTTTCTGGTGCTTGTGAGGGAAGGCGGGGGGGGAAATGAAAAAAAGCTTGGGCCTGGATTCATGAAGGGGAGAGAGGAGAGACTGGTGGGGATCTCTCTCCATCTGTAGCTCAGGTGTTACACAGCTTATTGTATGCACTGATTTGGATGATCTACACCTGAGATTGAGTCAATTGCCTGTCCTAATGGCTGGCCTTGCTGTCTCATTGTCAGCAGTGATTCAGGTATTTTATGTGAAGTAAAACATTGCTAACAGAGAAGCCTGAGGACAAGTTGCTCAGGAAGAACCAACAGCCTAGCAGATAAGGCAATTCTGAAGCACCAAGCTCTCCACCTCCACTGCCCTACTCCTTCTCCAATGCTAAGAGGATTGACAGTGCAACCGATAGGTTTGGTAATCTTCCCCCCCCCCACACAAACCGGCTTTTTGAACCCACCAGCT